TTTGGTATAAAACAAAGGCAGAATATACAGGGAAAGGGAAAGGGAATGCAATTACTAAATTCCAAGTTAATTATTACAATTGGATCAAATTCAATACCAAATGCTCTATGGGAATACGATTCCTCTTTCTCCTCACGGCAGAGGCTCTTGTGAATCCCCCAGACGAGACAGGTGAAGATATGCATCTGTTCCTGTTTACAGTAGTTCAATAACAACATTAGTTATCGGCCCGAAAAAACAAGCATATTGATCAACCGTGAATTTGCACAGAGAAGCAAGACGTTGGCAACAATTATCATTTGAATTCGGCTGAGCTACTACTACCATAGACTCGTGGATATACTTCCCATCAACTCTGCAATTGATGGAGTCTAAAAGAAAGTAAAACGTCCTGTCTCTGTCCCCGTCCCCAACTACCAAAGGCAATTTAATTATGCAAATAAGTAGAATGAATGACAATCAGTGATATGGATGTGAGAACTGTACATGATTCGATTTCAACAGATACTAATTGGGGAGGAAAGACCAATCAATGAAGGAACCGAAAAACGACGACATGACTAAAAGTAATATTTTGGAAACTACTACTCACATGACTAAAACAATCAGAATGTACTTACCATATCCTTCCATGGAGATCACTTGCAGATCCCCACCAAAATAGCGAGCATACAGACGGCTTATTGGAAGGCCATAGCCATATCCAGCCATTGTCACCAAATCTGCTGTACCCAAATCCGGATGTTCATCCAGCGGGTTTCTGGCAGTGGTGTAAAGGTAAGTGAAAATTTTGGGGAGGCCGCTTCGGGGTATGCCACCGCCCTCATCGGATACCTAGCGAAGTCAGTAGAAGGCACACTTATTTGAAAACTGCATAGAGAAATGAAGTTCCTTAACTTTGGGAATGCACAAGAGCAGTACCTTAATGGTGACATCCTCAATTCCATCAGCAACTATGATTCTAACAGGAGGATAAACTTTATCAGAATCCATGAAACGCTCTTGCACGGCACGTAACGAGTTCTTAACCAACTCAAAGACCATAAGTTGCAAGTGTGTTGGAACATAACTGGAAAAGTAAACGATATAAGAACTGAATATGTAAGACCAGAACAGAACAGAGAGCAGTTGCCCCAACATCATGCATGCCACAAGGCCACAAGTCACCCACACTCAGAGAAATTGGCATAGATCAGAAACACTCAGAACAGAGTGAATAAAGTTTAAAGCTGAAGCGTTTATCGTAAGCAACACATGGAGTCAGAGCGAAGAACTTACGGAAATGTAAAATTAGGATCTCCATAGATTTTGATATTAGGGGCACTGCCATACTCACGTAAACAGATCGCACGAGCATCCTCACTGGCACTCTGTGCTACCTCCATAGGTGACATTTTTGTATGTATATATCCTACACAGTCAGGAGGGGGATTGGGATTGTGCAATTCCACGTGCTGCCCTGAGTTACAATCGAATTTTGTCAACGACGTATTAAGCCTTTGAAAAACATAAAAGAATAGTAAGATTTGAATATTCCCATACCCCACTTCAAGAGAACTTAAAAGTACATAGACAGAATAGAGAAGGAAGTGGGGAAGACAGAAACGATCGAGACTCAGGGACTTCTGACTAAGGCACATGAAATTCAACTAACCAATGAGCATACGAATCCCAATTCTTGACATGTAAAAACGGTCCAAAAACTGATGAATCTCCCGAAGATCTTGATGCCCAATATTGCTTGGACCCAGGCTTTTCTTCAGTTGTTGAACACCTAA